GCCGCAGACGCTGCTCCAGACCCAGCCGCTGCTGCATGCCACGCCTGCCATTCTACCGCAGCCCACTGCTGCCACCGCTGCTGCCCCCACCCCCAAGCCAGTGGACACCCCCTCACAGATCACCGTTCAGCCAGCAGGCTTCGCATTTAGCCCAGGAATCGTAAGCTGCTGCCCTCACCCAAGCTGACCAGGGAAGGGCCGAATCTTGGGCCAAGGGTGGAACTGACCCTTCCCACAGTGGAGGACCAGCTCCCTTTCCAACACATCAGCTGAGATGGGCTCTCTCAGAGGCCTTCTCCCAGCAGCTGCTGGCCCATCCATCCCTGCCAAGAGGGGTGGGCAAATTCTCCAGAACCTGAACCACTGGACCAGTCTTGGAGGGTGGGATGATGTCTGGGGGTGGCAAACCTGAGAGCAGCTAGAGGCCGACAGCTCTGAGCTGGTGCTTGTCCAGTACAGCTTCCCAGCAGTGGGTGCTGCTGGGTGTGACTAGGATCACATCGGCCTTTCCAGTCTGGCCCTTCTACCAGGCCTGGCCTGAGAGATTAAACAGAGTTCCTGTTCCATGACTGTGGCCCCACCCAGCCCCAGGTGACCCCCAGCTGACTCTGCTGATCCCCTTCAGCCCCAGCTATTGAGCTAGTGGATGTGAGCCAGCCTACATGCACTTCCACCCACCTCCCCCCACTTCGGCCCTCTTCCCTCTTTTGGGGGCTCTTCTCACCTTGTGGCCTCTGAGCAAGCCTCTTCCTCCACCCACAGATCAGTGCTGCTTCCCTCGGGGGACAGACCCAGATCCTGGGCTCCCTCACTACAACTCCAGTCATTACCAACGCCATTCCCAGCATGCCGGGGATCAGCAGCCAGATCCTCACCAATGCTCAGGGACAGGCAAGTGGTCAAACCAGGGCTGAGGGCTGGGGGCTATGGAGAAGCTGCTCAGGAGAGGTCGGGACTGGGGCTGAGGGTCATAGACACTTGGACAGAAGGTCAAGGGGCTGTTCTTACGTGTGTGGCAGCTCTCTGCAATGCCGGGGCCAGGCAAGGGTGTAGCCACCACCTGCCCCAGCGGGGTTCGCTCTAGTTGGGGGTTCCATTTATGGAGCACCCATTCTGTGGCAGGCTTTGTGCTAGGTGCTTTTTCATCATTATGTCATTTTGAATACAGATCTACTAGGTGGATGCTTTTCTCTCATTTTATAGTAGAAAAGGCAAAGGTTCAGAAAAACTAAGCCACACTGCTAAAATGTGACAGAGCAGGGATTTGCTCCAGGTCTGTCTGATTCACATCCAGACCTGCTCCTGCCCCACTGCAGCTCGGGGGACAGAATAAAGGAGACAGCCTTACAGTGTGAATCCCTCGTTTTATTGATGAGAAAACTGAGGCTAGAGAGGTTAAGTGATTTGTTAACTTAGTGTTTTCCCCTGCCTGTCTGGGGACTTTGTTGGGGTAGAACTGGGCGCTGCCCTCACGCCTGGGCTCCTTGCCTTATTTCCTCCCAGGTTATTGGAACACTTCCGTGGGTAGTGAACTCGGCTAGCGTGGCTGCCCCAGCACCAGCCCAAAGCCTGCAGGTCCAGGCCGTGACCCCCCAACTGTTATTGAATGCCCAGGGCCAGGTGATTGCAACCCTGGCCAGCAGCCCCCTGCCTCCACCTGTGGCGGTCCGGAAGCCAAGCACGCCTGAGTCCCCTGCTAAGAGTGAGGTACAAGGGCTGGGGGTGGGGGCGGGGGCACAGGCAATGCTCTTTGGCATGGGCTGCTCCTCCTTAGACTACTGGGCAGGAGGACATCTTCTGAAACCCCTGGGAGAGCAGAGCACCTCCCAGAGGGAGGGGAGGTCTCAGAGTAGAAGTAGCAGGAGTCCACACATGCCCTGCCCAGGGAAACAGCAGCCTTGTCCCCTAACCCCCATACAGAAGAAACAGGTATATGTTCTCTCGGGGGGCCAGCACCCTCTAAGAAAGTCAGGGAGGAGGTGGTCAAAGTAGACTGGGGCTAGATCAACACCAGGGTGAACAAACTGCTGCAAAAGCCTTGGGACATCAGTTCTGCACCCCCTTTCTCTTTACCACTGTTCTCCCCCTCCACTCTGCTGTGGGTTTGCTTTTTCATTTATTTGTTCATTCTAGGAGTGTGTTTTGAGCACCTATTGTATTCCAAGTGCTGAAGATACAAGGTGAATAAGATGCTCTTCCTAGCCTTAGGTAGCTCAGCGTTGGAAGATTACAAGTCAGTGTGATAAAGACTGCTATAGAGTGATGAATAAGGTGCTGTGGGGCCCCAGAGAAGGATGCTCTTGACGGACGGGAGTTAAGCAAGGCTCCATAGAGAAGGAACTAATCTGAAGGGATGAGCTGGATGTGGGAGTTCCTTTAGGGAACTGCAGGTGTGCCAGAACAGAGGTTCTCAAATTTGGGCACCAGAAGCACCTGGAGGACTTGGTGGACCCAAGATTCCTGGGCTCCACATCAGAGCGTCTCATTCAGTAGGTCTAGAAAAGGGCCCAAGAATTTGTATTTCTAAGTCTGCTTGTGAAATGTGGTGAACTGCTTCCAAGCTTTGTCAGTAAGCCTTATCGGTAAAGTAGAGATACAGGGGCCAGCAGATGGCGTAGCCGTTATGTTGTTGGACTTCTTCATGGCCGACTACGGTGTGAGTCTTGGATCTGGTGGCTTGAAAGTCATGCTGGGCACATGTGTGTGCATGCCCAAAATCCTGAGAGGAGAATAAAGGAGAAGGGATTGCAATGTGGCCACTCCTTTGGGAGGGGATTTCTCTCTTTCCTTCTCACTGTCTCTCTCTCTCCAGCGAGCACACATGCTCTAAGGCAAAAACAAATAAGAAAAAAAGTTTAAAAATCCCTCTGTCATCCAGGTGGGACCAAGAACTAGACTAGGGAGAGACTTGAATTTTCTTTTTCTTTTATTTTAAAGAATATTTTATTTATTTATTTATTTATTTTTACTTATTTATTTATTTATTTATTATTCAATTTGATCAGAGAGAAACAGAGAGAGAGTCAGAAAGCAAGCCTCTAGGCTCAGGTCTTGAACCGTGATCAGCCATGTGGGAGTCCAGTGTCTTAACCACTACTCCACCTGCCTGCCCCAAGACTTGAATCTTTGCCACCTGTTGGGAAATGGTAAAAAAAGTTCTAGAAGAAACAACGAGTTCCCAGGAGGTAGAATCCAGGGAATAGGACCATTTTGGAGAAACTTGCAATTCTTAGCTTTACAAAATACTGAAACCATTAATTTAACACATTTGTAGTTTTTCCTGTCTACAAATATTGTAAACATTTCAATATTATGTGTAATGGGGAAGGTAAAAATCCATTTTACTATCACCTCCACAGATAATTACTTTTGTTAACAGTTTGCTATTTTATTTTTATTTGACCAGAGAGGGACAGAGTGAGAGAGAGAGGGAAAGTGAGAAACCAAGCCACCAGGTCCAGGACTCAACCCGCGGTCGGCTATGTGGGAATCCAACACCCTCAACCACCACGCCACCTGCCAGCTCCTATTTTAAAAAATTTAACTAGAGAAAGAAAGAGAGAAAGTGAGAAAGCAAACTGCCAGGTCTGAGACTTGAACTGGCGTCAGCCATGTGGGAGTCCAGCACCTAAACTACCATGCCACCTGCTGCCACCCCTTTCTTTTTTTTTTAGAGAGATTTTGTGGGAATCCAACACCCTCAACCACCACGCCACCTGCCAGCTCCTATTTTAAAAAATTTAACTAGAGAAAGAAAGAGAGAAAGTGAGAAAGCAAACTGCCAGGTCTGAGACTTGAACTGGCGTCAGCCATGTGGGAGTCCAGCACCTAAACTACCATGCCACCTGCTGCCACCCCTTTCTTTTTTTTTTAGAGAGATTTTTGCTATAGAGCACATGCACTTGAGACAGAAAGAGAGAAACACACACACACACACACACACAGGGGAGGTGGCCATACCTCAGTCCTTTCTCCTCCATATTCCTTTCAGGATTTTGGGCATGCATGCACACATGCCTGGCATAGAGTTTCAAGACGCCAGATCCAGCACTTGAATTGTGGTCAGCCACGTGGAAATCCAGCACCTTAACCACTATGCCACCTGCTGCACCCTTATATGTATTTTTAAAAGGCATTATTTCATTAAAAACTCTTTTATTATTTTTTAAATTTTGCCAGAAGGCATGTACACTCTCTAGAGTGAGAGATTGAAAGAGAAGAAAAGTTAGAAAGCATCCCCTCTGGGGTGTACCACATCGCAATCCCGTCTCTATTTCTCCCTCCTTTTGGGAATTTGGGTATGGATAAGCACATGCCCAGTATACTTCTCAACCTGTGGTGTCTTGGACTTGAATCATGCAGTCGCCCATGTGGGATCCAGCCACCTTAACCACCAGGCTAAGAGGTGGCTCATAGAAATTGTTTTTTAACCTTTGTGTTTTCACTTAGTTCTATGCCTCAGAATAGTTACAAGATATATCTTACCTCATTTTTTCTTTTGTTTTAAAGCGCATTTGTTTTTGTTTGTTTTAAGAACTATTCATTTAATTTTACTTATTATTATTCAGTTTGACTAGAGAGGCACACAGAGAGAGAGAGAAAGCAAGCCATCAGGTCTGGGACTCGAACTGTGGTCAGTCATGTGGGAGTCCAGCACCTTAACTATCATGCCACCTGCCAGCCTCCGTTTGTTTTTTATTTATTTTAATTTTATGTATCATTATTATTTTTTCTATAGGGCATATGTGCTCACCAGAGAAAAAGCGAGAGCGAGAGAAAGTGAGAAATCAAGCCACCAGGTCCAGAACTTGAACTGTGGTTGGCCATGTGGGAATTCAGCATCTCAATCACCATGCTACCTGCTGGTCCCACTTTATCTTAATTTTCAAAGACAGGGTCTCACTGTGTCATGATCTTTCAGCCTCAGTCTCCCAAGTAGCTGGGACCACAGGTGCACATGAGATGCCATCTCTTTCAGACAGGGTCTTACTGTGTTCCCTAGGCCAGCCTTGAGTTTGTAATCCCCCTGCCTCAGCCTTCCAGATTACTGGGATTATAGGCACAAGCCTTTAGGTTGGACTGGGAATTAAACCCAGGCTGTTCATGTGGTCCCAGCCTGCAGCAGTGTCTTAGCAGCATGCACCACTGGTGCTGAGCCTACTTTATTAGTATTATTTTTTTAAACTAGTATAGCTGAGATGTACAGTATCTCATTGTAAGTCAGTCCCAGAAATCATATACCAGTTCACTATTCATGGACATTTAGGGCCTGGTAGGCTCTAGAATCAGGTTTAGATTTGTCTTTGAGGGCAGAGATTTGAGAGCAGTTATCCCAAGGGGGGCACTGGCTGGGATTAGATTAAGCCTATGAACTTCTGAACTTCTCACCTTCCTGTGTCATAGGTGGCTACAGGGCTCCAGCTTGGTGGGCATGTCTCTATGCTTCTTTAGGAGGTCATTATCATTGTTTGTGTGTTCATAAGCAGTTTCTCGTCTTGCATTTTGTCAGAACAAAGTGAGCATGTCCTGAGTGAGGATTTCAAGCTTACTTTTGCCCTGCTTCTGGTCCACCCAGGGATTCCAACCCCTGAACTGGGCAGAGGGCAACAGAAGCTGTGTATCTCTTCTTATAGGTGCAGCCCATCCAGCCCACACCAGTTCCCCAGCCTGCTGTGGTCATCACCAGCCCAGCCCCAGTGGCCAAGCCATCTGCCTCTGCTCCCATCCCAATTACTTGCTCAGAGACCCCCACCGTCAGCCAACTGGTGTCTAGTAAGTGAATTCTAGAGGAGGAGTGTGAATAGGGGGAAAGACATTTACTTGAGCACCTCAATATCTTCAGATGTTGCTTTCTTTACTAAACTTCCTGGAGTCCAAAGGGAAAGGATAGAGGTACAATGTGAGGGGTTGGCTTTCTTAGTCCCATTCCTGTTGAACTGGATTCTGAGCATGATGATAGTGGAGGCTGCTTAGCAGGCAGGCAGTCTGCTTGTCTGAGAGGCCATTGGCTGTCTGCTGTGGTCTCTCACTCAGCATTTGAGGAATGTGGATTGCCAACAGGTGTGCTTGGGGCCAGGAACAGAGTGAATGGGGGAGGGCCAGCAGGAAGAAGTTGAAAATAGACCCTGACTCCCAGATAGTCTACTCTAGGCCCCTGCCCCCTAGTTTGCTTATCTTGGGGTAGGGGTAATGAGGTTCTCACGGGTGCATGAGCCTTTTGCTAGATGTCGCCATTCCTCACTGTTGTATCTGTCCAGACCAATTGACCAGGTAAACAGTGATGATTCCCATAATACGTTGTTGATCTTTCCCTTTGGCCTAGAACCACATACCCCAAATCTGGATGAGGATGGGATCAACTTAGAAGAGATCCGTGAGTTCGCCAAGAACTTTAAGATCCGGAGGCTCTCTCTGGGCCTGACACAGACCCAGGTGGGTCAGGCTCTGACTGCAACAGAAGGTCCAGCCTACAGCCAGTCAGCCATCTGCCGGTGAGTAAATCTGTCCTGGACACGTCAGGGTCTGCTTAGTGCCTGGTGCCTCTGTAGCTTCATGGAGACATGGGTATCCAGCCTTTTTCCATATTCTTCTGTCTTCTTCCATATTTCCATATTCTCCTGTCTTCTTCCAGATAAGGAAGACTGTTCGAAGAGTGGACAGGAATACCTATAGTAACTAAAGACTGACAAAGTCCTTCTGGTCCCTCTGAAGTTTATCCTCCCGCCCTGAACATTTATATGGTCTTCTTTGGAGACCCCAACACCCTAATCCATTTAGAAATTCTATCAAGAAAGAAGCATATCTTATAAAAATGAGTCACAAAAGTGGGAATTTCAGTCCTGTCTTGGCCCTTGGCTATAACCTGCTATACCCCATCATGCTCCCATCTCCCCCTCTCATAAGGCATGACTACAAAGTAGTATAGTTGATTTTTCTTTGTGCAGCTTATGAACTAACTTGGGGGCCAATACCAAAGGAGAGATGACAGACCATTTTGTTGTTGTTGTTGTTAGGTTTTTTTTGTTTGTTTTGAGAGAGATTTTTGCTATAGGGTGTCAGCTGCCGGGTCAGGGACTCAAATTGGGGGGAACCAGCAGTTGGCGTAATGGCTATGTCGCTGGACTCTCATGTAGTTGACCGCGGTTCGTGTCCCGGACCCGGTGGCTTAAAACTCACGCCAGGCGCGTGTGCGTGCGTGCCCAAGATCCCGAGAGGAGAATGGAGGAGAAGGGATTGCGGCGTGACCATCCCCCCTGGGGGGTGATTTCTCGCTTTCTGTCTCTATGTCTCTCTCTGTCTGTCTGGCGAGCGCACGCGCCCTACAGTAAAAATCTCTCCAAAAAAAAAAAAAAAAAAAAATTGGGGTCAGCTACTTGTGAGTCTAGTGCCTTAACCACTATGCCACCTGCTGGCCCTGAGAATTTCAAACAAGAAAAAGTGCTTGGCTTAGGGATGGCCACTACGTCTATAGACTAGACTGGAGAGACTGAGTCTGCAGTGCCATGCTGAGACTTCTGTCACCATATCCAGGCACAGCCAGGAAGAGTAACCTGACTTGTTAGCGACGCTGCTATGGGAATGCATTTGGGGGAGGGCAGCACTCATGGTATCTAGAGGCCTCTCAAAGGACACTCTTTTAGGTGACAGTTCTAGGAAGACCATTCATAAAGCAGTCACACTGTTGTCATTGTACTACTGACTAAGCTGAGGCTGTGGGAATGGCCTCCCTGTTAGGATCCATAATACTGGAGATTCTGGGGAGTCTGGGCTTGGCTGAGCTACAGGGGTCTTGGTGGCCAGGTGAGGGAAATACAGGGTACAGTACACCAGCCCTGAGAACAGCAGTCCCTTGAGGTAGTACTTACACTTGGTGGGATGTCTGTGGAAGAGACTGAGACACCCTCACAGTCCCTTCCTGGACATGGATTGCCTACAGGTTTGAGAAACTGGACATCACGCCCAAGAGCGCCCAGAAGCTGAAGCCGGTGCTGGAGAAGTGGCTGAATGAAGCCGAGCTCCGGAACCAGGAAGGCCAGCAGAACCTGATGGAGTTTGTGGGAGGCGAGCCTTCCAAGAAACGCAAACGCCGCACCTCTTTCACCCCCCAGGCCATAGAGGCTCTCAACGCCTACTTCGAGAAGAATCCACTGCCTACAGGCCAGGAGATCACTGAAATTGCTAAGGAGCTTAACTATGACCGGGAGGTCGTGCGGGTCTGGTTCTGCAATAGGCGCCAGACGCTCAAGAACACCAGCAAGTTGAACGTCTTTCAGATCCCTTAGGGCTCAGCCCCCAGCCTTGTGTTCCAGCACTTTGTACTTTTCCCTTGGTGCCCGGCTGCAGCCACTGCCGTGACAGCACCTGTCCTTTTGTCACGTGCAGCTGTGCTCGCCCTAAGTCCTGAGACTCCACTGTGTGCATGTGCGTCAATGCCTCTCCCGCTCCCCCACACATCTCACATCATGGGGAGGCCAGCGGGGCCCACATGAGAGCTCCAGCCTCTGGGCTAGTCAAACCGAAGGTGAGGATTTGTGGTGTCACTTAGAAAAGCACTTTGCTAACTTGGTTTCTGAAGGGTGAATTCTGGTTGGGAACCAGAAACTCCTGTCTGGGGCAGGGCTTGGCAGCTCCTAAGGACCACTGGCCATTAGCTCCTGTTTTTGATGGCATTCTTATTCCGCTCTCTCTTCTTTGCTCCTATGTGTTGGTGTGGCAGGTATGACAATTCATCCAGTGAATCCAAAGCCCCACACTGCCCATCCTCCAACCTCCACTTTGCCTGCAAGGACCCAGGAGATAAAATTTAGAAAAGCATGCTGTGGCGCTCAGAAGGTCAGACTCAGTGTCTGCTTTGACCTCGAGGTCAGGAGATTCACACAGCTCCAGGGCCAGAATACGTGATCTCTTTTCCCACCTCTCCCTAGGTCCTTTGGGGGAAAATGCACCAAAGCAGAACCTTGTCTTTTGCAATCCATGTTGGAAGGAAACAACAGCAAGTTCCTCTTGTCCTGGATTTGTCCTGGGTCTGCAGCAGGTCAGGAATTTGGTAAATAAGGCCATCCTCCCAGATTTTTGGTAACCCTGACATTGGGGTGGGGGGGGCAGTTGTGTGCTGAATTAACCCCTCCACCTCTACCCACACACAGCCCTACTCCATTCTGATTGAGGTGGGAGTGAGGAGGCAGGCAGGCCACCTTCCAAAAGAGAGGGGAAGGCTCCCCATTCAAGTTCAGAGTCATCAATTTGCCTCAATGAAAAAACAAACTTCCTTGGAAAGGGTGTTATACACAAACTTTCAGCAACAATGGTTAGAGTACCAGAGTGTGTAAAGGATTCAGTGACTTACACCTGAATACAGAGTGCTGCAGGTTTCATCCAGGTAGGTTCTCTTTTTGGGGAGAGACGAGTGTATCACACAGGGTGGTCTGTGAGTAGCATATAACCCAGGGCATGTCCATTGCATTGGAAGTGCAAGAGACATCATCTGTCCTATCATGGCAGGAAAAAAATCATAACCCTGGTCTAAATTAGGCCTGGCTAAGCTTACTCAGCTCCTCTCTGTTCTAAAGCTATCTTCCCAAGGCCAGGCTCTTCTGCTGGAAGGATAGGTCAGTTTTCCAGGGGAATAATGCCTTTAGGGGAAAAAAAATACCTTTAGGGACAGGATGTTTGCAGGCTGAATTCCCCAGGTAGGGATGCAGGGTGTCCCTGAAGTGTATTCAGAGCTCACTGACCTATGACCTTGCTTCTCCACCATAGGACCCCGGGGAAGCAGCTAGGGTCTGGGCCACTCACTAAACCAGTGGGTGTTTCCCTGCCTGGGAAATGGTTTCTTCTTGTACCTGTAGGAAAATGCCCAGGTGTTTGGTAGCATCAGACTGTGAAGGGAGATGACATAAATTTTGTTTTGTAGGTATCTTTCCCAACTTAAGTCAGAGCTCAGCAGCTTCTCAGTCATGGGACGACAGGCTAATGGGCAGAAATGGTTTAACTGTGTATAGTTTCGTTTGTTTAGTTTGAAGTAAAAGACCAGATCTGTCCATGGCCTGGTAAATCAGCTGGGGCCTTTGGCCTTTCACTGATGTTTTATCCCAGTGCAGTTCAGAGAAAGAATTCAGCCAAATAGACTGAGGAACACACTTGAGTCTGGAATGCAAGACCCTAATGTTTTTGTGTTCTTAGAAATCTAATTACCATCATATGCCCACATTTCCTTCCCACTTCATGGGCCAGGCCGTGACACTGAGGTTCTGACTGGCCTCCAACATGGTGCAAAGCCTGCTGAGGGCTGGAGGGAGGGCTGGGGAGGGGAGAGGAGAACAAGAAGTACTCAATGTAGTTGTGTGGAATAAACAGTATTTTTTCTTTTGTACTAGTCTGCATATTTCTTGTTCACTTCTCAGGTGAATGCCAGAACTGGAGCATGTTCTAGTGTGGAACTAGAGGTCTGAAATCAAATCTGGCCTTCTAGGTCATGAAGGTATTCTTGTTAGGATAGGTGGTTAGAACGCTAACAGTTACTTTGATTTACACTTTATAAAAATGTGGCTATATGGTAGATGCATCTTCATTTGTATTCTTCTCCAGGCCTGCCACTGAGCTTAGAGCTAGGAGCATAGCTCTCAGGGGGGGTTTCTCTCTTGGTTTGTCTGCCCCTCGTAGGGGGCTTATGCCATCTCCCTCATAGGCCTGCTTCCCTGACACCTACCTGGTGTTGACGAGATCTGGGCTACATAATCTACACTGGTGACAGCAATGCATCATCTGTTCTGGACCATGCTCCACCACCCTGCCTCCAGCCAGCAGGACGATGGTTATCTAAGACTATAATGCAAAACTTACAGATCAGAGGAGCTTTACAGTGCTCTGGGAAAAAAATGGGGAAAAAAATCAAATAGAAGCTGGCACTCATTCCTGCATAAATTTCACAACCCTGATGTTAGCCATCCACACAGGGCTGTGACTCCTCAGTACACAGGCCAAGGGCACATAGCAAGTAGTTGATAAATGTCAGATGAATAACTGCTTTAATTTCCTACTCTCTCCTTTAAGGAATGACAGCTGAATCCCTGGCTTTGGGCTACTGGGAGAGAGCAGGGATGGAGGATTCTGCCTGGCTATGCGGGGTTTGGTCTGTGAAATGTGGAAGTGAATGGAATCTGGGCAGCAGCTGGTCCTGACCAGAGAGAGACAGTTCCCAGCAGCTCCCACCAGGAGAGCCTGTGGGAGCTATCTCTGGCTCAGTCCAGTTGAGAGTGGTTCCTGGCAATTGGCCCAGGAAGGCTTTATAGGAAGAGAGTTTATGGAGGGACTGTAGTTTTTACTCCCAGGCCTAAGAAGTTCACCGTACTGTGAAGGGGGAGCTGAACTTTTATGGACTGGGGCTGATGTGGGCTGGTTTCTGGACTAGAGTTATGAGAGAGAATCCGAGGTTGTTTGGAATTCTGTGGCGGTGAAACCTTCTGATTTCCCTTCCTTTCAACTTCAGGGTCCTACAGAGAAGCCAGGCTGGGTTTCACAGGCTCACTGGGTGGGCTGCAGGAAGATATGAAGAGTTCAAGCTAGATGATGAGCTCTCAAAAAAGTCTGCCTGGGAAATGTTTTCTTCCTGTTCTGGAGGAAAATGCCCAGTAATTAGAGCAGGGAATCCAGCAACATTGGCTGATGGAAGTAACTGAATGAGAAGGAACGTCTGGGGGATAGAGGGGTACTGCCTCAGGCAGGATGACCTCTTAAGCCTCTGAGAGAAGGGTGATCTTTCTGTTAGTAATAACTAATCCTATACTCACTAGTCAGAGCACTAAACATGCCCTTTTCTTTCTTTTTTTTTTTTTGCCAAAGGGAATGTACTCTCTCCAGAGAGAGACAAAGAGAGATGGAGAAGGAGGAAACATTCTCCAATGGGATATGGTCACACTGCTATCCCTTCTCCTCCATTTGTCCATCCTGATGAGATTTTAAGCATGTACACACATGTGCCTAGTGTGTTTTTTAAGCCAGCAGGGCCAGGATTTGAACCATGATTAGCTATGTGAGATCCAGCTCCCCTGACCCATAAGTCAAAGGGCCAACCTATGCTCAACAGTTAGAATGTCTGGTCTCACTAATGCTCACAATAATTCTATAGAATAAGAATGATTACAGGGCTGGCAGATGGCGTAGTGGTTAAGGGCACTGGACTCCCACATGGTCAACCACAGTTCAAGTCCCGGACCTGGTTACTAGCTTTCTCATTTTCCCTCTCTCTCTCTGTCTCTCTCTCTCACTCTGTCCCTCTCTAGTCAAATTAAAATAAATAAAGTTAAATAAAAATAATTCTTGGGACCAGCGGTTAACGTAATGGCTATGTATGTCGCTGGACTCCCATGTAGCTGACCGCAGTTCGAGTCCTGGACCTGGTAGCTTAAACTCATGCCAGGTGTGTATGTGTGCATGCCCAAGATCCCAAGAGGAGAATGGAGGAGAAGGGATTGCAGTGTGGCCATCCCCCCTGGGGGGTGATTTCTTGCTTTCTATCTCTCTGACTCTCTCTGTCTTTCTGGCAAGCGCATGCACCCTATAGCAAAAACTCTCCAGAAAAAAAAAAAAAGAGTAAAAAAAAAATAAAAATAATTATTTAAAAAAGGCTAAAATATTCAAATTTAAAAAAAGAATAATTACAATGGGGAATTGAGGCATAGAGAAGGTGAGGAGTCTACTCAGGGTTGCTTTGTGTGTAGCAGAATCAGGATTTGAACCTAGGTGGCCTATCTCTAAAGCTTTTTTGCTTCATCTTACAATCTGTAGGTTCTGAGACATGAGCGGGACCTGGGGTAATTGTCTTAATCTTTCTAAGTAGGGTTTTGACATGTTTCCATCCACTGGAGTAGATCTTGCTATGTCTCATCTAAATAGTGTCCAGTTTCAGGATCTAATTTAGGGAAATGAATCCTTCACAATGAGCCCAACAATTCAGAATGCTGAATTTAGAAATGTAGAGATCTGTGTCACAGGTGCACTTTTTTTTTTTTTTTTTTAAAGAGAGACTTATGCCATAGGGCACATGTGTTTGCTGAAGAGACAGAGAGACAGAAAAAAAAAAAAATCCACCCCCAGGGGGGATGTCTACACTACAATCCCTTCTCCTCCATTCTCCTCTCGGGATTTTGGGCACGCACGCACACGTGCCTGGTGTGAGTTTCAAGCTGTCGGGTTCAGAACTTGAACTGTAGTGGACTACATGGGAGTCCAGTAACATAACCATTATGCCACCTGCTGGTCCCGACAGGTACTCTTCTTAATTAGGATTTTTTAAAAAGAATTATTTTATTTAATTATTTATATTTTAAAATTTTACCAGAGAGGGACAGAGTGAGAGAGAGCAAGAAAGTGAGAAAGCAAGCCACCATGTCTGGGGCTTGAACCATAGTTGGCCATGTGGGAGTCCAGCACCCTTAACCACTATGCAACCTGCCGGCCCTCTTCTTAATTAGTTTTATTTATGTTAAAGAAGAGCCATGATATTTTTTGTGGTACAAATTCGTGGGTATACAAATTTGATCTACTGATAGGTGTTGCTGGATTTCTAGGGGAGCACCTGGTGGTCTTTTTTGGAGGCAGAGCCCCTAGAGCTGCCCTTGGAATCCCTGTTTCCAGTCTTGGCACTCCAATTCACTCTTTTTTTTTTTTTGGAGAGATTTTCACTATAGGGCGCGTGTGCTCGCCAGACAGACAGAGAGAGACATTAGAGACAGAAAGCGAGAAATCACCCCCCAGGGGGGATGGTCACGCCGCAATCCCTTCTCCTCCATTCTCCTCTCGGGATCTTGGGCACGCACGCACACGCGCCCGGCGTGAGCTTTAAGCCACCGGGTCCGGGACGCGAACTGCGGTCAACTACGTGGGAGTCCAGCGACATAGCCATTACGCTAACTGCTGGTTCCCTCCAATTCACTCTTATACTGGAGAAGGGAGAGGAAGGAAAATGTTCACTCTCCTGGTCAGGAAATTCTAGGGGTAAACCATCTAAAAAGTCCTCTTTCCTGAAGGGGGAATCAGCTTCAGCCATAAATCTCAAGGCTGACCTACATTCCGGTTGGAAGGGGCTGAGTCTTAGAAACTCATTTTACCTGGGACCAGCAGTTAGCGTAATGGCTATGTCGCTGGACTCCCACGAAGTCAACCGCGGTTCAAGTCCCAGACCGGGTGGCTTAAACTTACACCGGGCGCGTGTGCGTGCATGCCTGAGATCCCGAGAAGAGAACAGAGGAGAAAGGATTGCAGCGTGGCCATCCCCCCTGGGGGTTGATTTCTCACTTTCTGTCTCTAGTCTCTCTCTGTCTTTCTGGCAAGCACATGCGCCCTATAGCAAAAACCTCTTAAAAAAATAAAAAAGAAACTCATTTTACCTCATTCTATTTTAGAACTAATAAATGGTAAGGAAGAACTTTGTGAAATCTTTGTTTGGGTCCAGAGTTTAAACTTAGACTCAAATATCTCCAAGAAATATGTTTTTGCCTTCGTTTAAATATTTTATTTTCTTTTTTTTTTTTTTTTTTTTTTTTTTTTGAGAGATTGTTCCTATCGGGTGTGTGTACTCCTAGAAAGAGAGAGAGACAGAAAGTGAGAAATCACCTCCCAGGGGAGATGGCCATGCCACAATTCCTTCTCCTTTCTCCTCTTGGGATTTTGGGTATGCATGCACATGCACCCAGTGTGAGTTTCAAGTTGCCAGGTTCAGGACTTGAACCACGGTCAGTCATGTGGGAGTCCAGTACCTTAACCCCTACACCACTTGCTGGTCCTGTCTAAATATTTTCTAAAGGACAGGACTCCATGATATTCCTGGATATGGCACAGTTATCACTTCCAAATATCTGACTACTTTATTTTTTAAAATAATTATTAATTTTATTTATTATTATTTGTAAAGTTTTGCTGTAGGGCACATGTGCTCGAGAGAGAGAGAGAAAAAGTGAGAAAGCAAGCCGCAAGGTCTAGGACTCGAACCACCGTGGACCATGTGGGAGTCTGGCACCTCAACCACCATGCTACTTGCCAGACCCTGTCCTTATTTTTTTTAGTCCCTTCCCTTGAACTGGCCTGCAAGTAAGCAAGCTTCATCCAATAGTCCTTCCTTTTTTTTTTGAGCTGGGACCTGGCAATGTTGACTAACTTAAGTAACTGAGTGAGAAGAGAAAGGGGCAGGGGGGTGGTAAGAAAGCACCTCCTCCCCAATGGAGGATGGTTCCCCCACAATCCCTTCTCCTCCACTTCTCCCTCTTTTAGGGATTTTTTTTTTTTTTTTGAGAGGTTTTTTGCTATAGGGTGCATGCACTCACCAGAAAGACAGAGAAAGACAGAGAGATAGAAAGCGATAAATCACCCCCCTGGGGGGATGGCCATGCTGCAATCCCTCCTCCTCCATTCTCCTCTCAGGATCTTGGGCACACATACACATGCGCCTCGTATGAGTTTAAGCCACCAGGTCCAGGACTCGAACCGCAGTCGACTACATGGGAGTCCCAAGGAGTGTGGGGGGATGGCTCTGAATATGTCTCTAAAACTCAGTTTCCTTATCTATGAAATAAATCTCTAAGAACGATACTTTCACCACAAGGATGAGTGAAGATAAAATGAGGTAATATACCTAAAGCACCTAGTCATGGCTTCTTCCTAATTGCTAGAAGGTGTGTATGCTCACCAGGGAGAGATGGAGACATAGAGAGGAAGAGGCAGAAAGCATCCCTCAATGAGGCGTGGTCACGCCTTAATCCTTTCTCCTCCATTTCTCCTCCTGTCAGGATTTTGAGTATGCATGCAAAAATACCAGGAATGTTTTTCAAGCTGCCAGGGCTGGGATTCCAACTGCACTTGGCCACGTGGGCTCTAGCTCCCTTAACCACTCGCCTACAGGGCTGCCCCTTTCCCCCTTAATTCTAAGATTGATTTATTCATGTGGCTGAGTATAGCTTTATAAACTTCCACTGCTGTATGGTCTACTCCATTCCAACTCTTTTTGGTAGACTTTTTTTTTTGCTCTGTTTTGCTATGGTTCTACAAGTCTCCTTGCATGGATGTGCAAGAGTTTCTCTAGGGTATATGGCATATGTAGAGTTGCTGAATCACTGGGTAATTTTCATAATAATTTCTTTTTTTTAAAGTTTTATTTACTTACTATTTTTGAAAATAATTATTTTATTTAACTTTATTTATTTTAATTTGACCAGAGAGGGACAGAGTGAAAGAGAGAGAAAGTGAGAAAGCAAGCCGCCAGGTCTGGGACTCAAATTGTGATCAGTCACATGGGAGTCCAGCGCCTTCAATCACCATGCCACCTGCTGACCCCCTTTACTTACTCTTTAATTTGTCAGAGAATGTGTGTACTCACAGGGAAGAGAGAGAGAGGGGGAAAGAGAAAGAAGCCTCCCTTGGGGGATAGCCACACTACAATCCCTACTCCTTCATTTCTCCCATCTTCTAGGATTTAGGGCATGCACACACATGTGCCTGGTGTGTTTCTCAAGCTGCAAGGTCCAGAACTAAAACTGTTCAGTTGGCCATGTGGGATCTAGCCATCTTAATCACCATGTCACTGGTTGCCCCTAAATTTTATTTATTTTATAATTTGTTATTTACATTTCATTGCTGTACATCTTTCTGGAGTATAATGTGTTTTTTCAAAGCGTGCATGCAGTGTGTGATAATCCAATCAAGGAGAGTACCATATTCATCATCTTCAACAAAGAACTTTGTTGTGCACCTTCAAATTTTATCCTACTCGTCTGTTTTTTTGGTTTTTGTTTTGTTTTGTTTTGTTTTGTTTTGACAGCCAAGAGGGCATAAGACTCCACAATCCCTTCTCTCCTTGGGATATTGGGCATGCATGAACACATGCCCCGTGTGATTTTCAAGCTGCTGGGTCTGGGACTTGAACTGTTTGAACTGTGGCCAGTCATGTAAGAGTTCAGGACCTTAAACACCATGCCAAGATATATATACATTTTTTTTTTTTTTGAGAGGTTTTTGCTATAGGGTACGTGCACTCGCCAGACAGACAGAGACAGAGAGACAGAAAGCGAGAAATCACCCCCCAGGGGGGCTGTCCACGCCACAATCCCTTCTCCTCTGTTCTCCTCTCGGGATCTTGGGCATGCACACACATGCGCCTGGTGTGAGTTTTAAGCCACCTGGTCCAGGACGCGAACCGCAGTCGACTACATGGGAATCCAGCGACATAGCCATTACGCTAACTGCTAGTCCCATATATTTTTTTCTTTTTAAGAGAGATTTTTGCTATAGGGTGTATGCGCTCACCAGAGACAGAGAGAAACAGAAAGCAAGAAATCACCCCCCAGGGGGGTGGCCATGTCACAATTCCTTCTCCACCATTCTCTTCTTGGGACTTTGGACACACACGTTCCCAGTATGAGTTTTAAGCCTCCAGATCCAGGACTCGAAGTACCGTCAACTATGTGAGAGTCCAGCGACACAACCATTACGCCATCTACTGGTCCCAAGAACCTTTTATATTTAAGAGACCTCCCTGAGTGTACCAGGCACCCACACGCCCATGATCTGAGGGTGGCTGAAGGCTGGAAGCACATCGTGTCATCAAGATCATGTTGGAGATGCTATCAGACTGTCGTTCAAGAAGGAAATAAACTTTAAAACCCTTCTATGAAGATTAAATGAGACAGTGTATATTCAAGTGTTACTAAAACTGTAACATCACACATAATGTATGCTAATGTTATTAAAATAGGATAATAATATTGACTCAATCTTTATAGTGAAATACAAGTTCACAGAGAAGCAGAAATGCATTAGTGGAAGACTGGAGCTAATAATTATTGAATCATTATTTTGTGACATTCTGGCATCTCTCTTAGTTCTCACAATAATTTTAGGAAGAGGTATTATTTTCACTAATTTATGAATTAAATTTTGAGGCTCAGAGATGAAAAGTTACTTTTCCAAGATTATGGAGCTAGCGGTAGATCTATTATTTAAATAAGGCATGGTTCTAACTAAGAGGTGTTTTAAAATACAATCGATGACAGTTTATAAAGGATTTTGAGCCCTCAGATCTCATGTGACATCTCTCTTTTGGTCTCTGAGCCCAATATTCACTTCTTTACGAATAGACACACATTTTAAGATAAAACTGGCTCAAGGGAAGAAAAAAATGGCTTACAGAGATAGTGTGTCCCTGGAATAAACCAAGACTTGGATCTTGGGGTTTACCAAGGTAAAATAGGTTTAAATCTAGAGCTCACAGAGAAAGAAGCCTATGACTGAAATGAGACATGTTGTCAAATTCGCAGTCTTCTTTCTCTTCCCTCTTATTCTTCCCTTTTTTTATTTAAAAGTTTCTATTGCAGAAACTATAGTAGGAAATACTGAGAACACAAGCCTAAAGAAGGTCTACTCCTAAAGTGAGGAAGGCAGATATATAAGAAAATATAATCCAGAACTGACTGTAAAATATTCAGTAATAGAATACAATGAACCAATATTTTCACAAATAGTCAGTGTCTTGCAGTGAAACATACTAGGCTTTCAAGTCAGCTCTCAAGTTGGCATGCCAAGTATAGCTCTGGCCAACTGAGGCCCTTAGCCTCATCTTAGGTAAAATGACAGACATGATACTTCTATTTTTTATAAAAAAAAATAATTATTTTAAACTTTATTTTATTTATTTCTTTAATTTACCAGAGAGGGACAGAGAAAGAGAGAGAGAGAGAATACGTGCCCCTGAATGCAAGCCACCAGGTCCAGGACTTGAACCGTGGTCCGCTGTGTGAAAGTCCACTGTCCTTAACCACCACACCACCTGCCAGACCCTCATTATACTTACCTTTAAAATTACAATTCTAATTAAAAGGTTGTCTTGAGGAGTATCGATAATGTAACAGAGTCCCTAGCATACAGTTGATACTTAATAAACAATGGCCAATATTACCTAATCCTCTAAAGAGAAGGGAGGAGCAGGTATGGTTATCCCTGTTTACAAACGAGGAAACTCAATCTCTGTGAGATTTCGCGATATTCCGAAATCAACAAACCAGTGAGTGAAGACATGCCGGCCTAAACTCTTATTACCCTCAGATCTTTGAAATTCCAGTCCCCTCCCAACAATCTTTTGAAAAATCACAACTCTTTTTCTTTTTCTTTCTTTTTTTTTTTTTTAACCATACCATGCTTTCCTTTTCAAATGCATTGGAGAGAATGTGGACGATAAGTGGATATGAGGAAAGCGGATTAATCATAAGAGGAAAGTGGATTTAATCAGGGTCTTGACCTCCGTAGAGGTGAGAGTTAAGGAGACCGGAGGATGAGTAGAACAAACATGCGCGTGTAGG